ACCGTCCCACCACCCTGCCACTCAGCCTGGGCCTCCCAGAGGCCTCTGCCCCGTGCCCCTCAGTCGGGCCGGCCGGGTCTCGCTCTGGCGCGAGCTCCTGCCTGCCACACTGGCTGTGGTCCTGGGTCCCCTGGCTCAGCCTCCAGGTGCTGCTGGTCACCCTGCCCGGGGCTGGGGCTGCAGCTGGCAGGGTTGGGGCATGTATCTGCAGTGGGGGGGCTGGGAAGGGGCAGTTAGCAGTGGCCTGTGCTCCCCGGGGGCCGACTGAGACAGGCCGGGGTGGGACCCCACCTCTTGCCCCAGCCTCCTTGGGGGACCAGCTACCCTGCGTCAGGACCCCTGTGGGCAGGCAGGGAGGGCCTCAGAGTAACGCCCCATCCCACCCACCCCGTCTGGCAGGCCATACTTTGAAGGCCTGTCGCACTCCAGCTCGCAGACCGAGGTCGGCAGCACCCACAGCTCCCGGAGCCACAGGGAGCCCCCGAGCCCGGTGAGGAACACGCTGCGCTGACGGAGCCTGGCCAGGACCCGGCCTGTTCTCCCTGCCCCGGGGCTTGCAGGGTAGCATGTGCCCTGGGTGGGTCGTGGGTACCATCTCCCCGCACGCCCTCCCCTGCCCGGGGAGTTAGCAGGGTTCCATCTTTACCTCCCCAGGCTGATGTGCCCGAGAAGACCAGGTCCCTGGGGGGCCGACAGCCAAGCGACAGCGTCTCGGACACAGCATCCCTCGTAAGAAGACGGGGGCCGTGCTGGCCCGTTTGCACCCAGGGCACTCATGCCCACCTACACAGCCCACCTCCCGCGCTCCCTGGGAGGTGGCCAGGCTGCTGGGGGTCAGCGCGACCCTGGGTTTGCCTTACCCTCTGGAGCGGTTAGGACGTCCTTGTCCCCCCCTCCACCGTGGTTGTCAGGGCACCTGGGCTTGTCCTCGCCCCAGGTGACAGCGGCCATGCCTGTCTCACTACCCCCAGCTTGTCCCTGCCTGTGTGGGGTCTCCAGGAAGGTGTGTGGCCCGGGCGCCTCTGGTCAGAGGTCTGGCTAACCCTGCGGCAGCCAGGCCACGAGCTTGAGGCTGGAGCTGAGACCAGCCTGGCTCTCAGGGCAGCCCATGGCTGTGCCCCCTGCAGGGAGGTGTGGTCTGAGAGAGGCCTCACCCCTTTACCTAGACCAGGGCCACTCAGCAGAGCAGCTGGCCTGGGGGCACCACCCCATGGCAGGCACACAGGCCTCTGTGCTCTGCAGGTCATGCCAGCCCCCCGGGAGCCGCCAGGGCCGCCCCAGGACAGCCCAGAGGCCGAGCCTGCCCCCCTGGACGCCTTCGCCGAGAAGCTGCCACCCAGCGGCAGGATCACCAAGACAGAGTCTCTGGTCATCCCCTCCACCAGGTGCGGCCACGCTGCGTGGTGCAGGGTTGGGCGGGCACCCCGAGGGCCTGCTGGGAGCTGGCCCATCAGGTTCGCGTCGCCCCGTGGGTGTGTGTGCACCAGTGCGGCTGGTGCCACAGCGGCTGGCAGTGCCGCACACAGGGCCCTGTGGGGCCGAGCAGTGGCGCGGCCCGCGGGCGGCAGGGGCTGACCCCGGGGGCCGTCATCCCCAAGTAGGTCCTGCCGCATGTCTTCGTCCACGGGGCAGGGTGGTCTAAGTCGAAGTGACTGTGGGGGCACCTCCCAGATGCTCATGCCCCCCCGCTCCTGGTCAGCCCTGGGTCAGGCCAGGCCCCCCCACACCCCAACAGCAGCACGCCATCACCCCCACTGCCCCTGTGGCCTTTCCTTGCCCCTTACTGAGTGGGGCGTGCCTGGTGCCACCCCTGCCAGGCCACCCCTAGCAGCCCCGCCAGCCCCGCCAGCCCCGCCATGTGACCCGCTGCTGCCCGC